AGTGGGGTTACAGTGTAATAGTGGGGTTATAGTGTAATAGTGGGGTTATAGTGTTATTGTGGGGTTATAATGTAATAGTGGGGCAGCAATGTAAAAAGTGGTAATATATAATGAGTTTTCTTAGTTTGACCACGAGAGGTCACAAAGCGCCCCCTCATGTCCTCTTGTATGTTCCTGGTCTCCGCCGCTAGGGGGCGCTGTCTCTCCCGGTCGTCCTCGGGGGTCTGATGGCAGCATGGCGGAGGTAGGGGCACCGGACGAGTCGTCGGACAGCGAGCCGGAGCAGGAGCCCGGAACCCCCCAGAAACTCATCCGAAAAGTGTCCACGTCCGGCCAGATCCGCAGCAAGGTACAGAGGGGCTAAAGCACAGGACTCATCTCCGTTGTGTCCGTGTTCATTACATAATACATGTTCAGGGTGCACGGTTCTCCTCCTGCAGAGGACCACACACGGAACTCCATAACAAAATGTACCGGTTTAACATTCACAGCCTCAGGGGACGAGTTACATACAAAGTGTGAGATCAGTTAAGACTTTTTCCCGAATGCACAGAGGTCGATGTGTAATTCGGCATCACTTATATTTATAATAGTTTGTCTTTTATTCCCAGTTTGACACTTTCCCTCCACCTCCTTCCTCCACTACACAGTGTGTTCAGCGGTGAATCATTTAAATAAACGGACATGTCATTCAACCCGGTGCTGCTTCACGGATTTAAATGATGCCGATTTAAAGACCGGATGTGACTGAACCTGAAACAGTTTGATCCGAGTTTGTTATCTCATCGCTTATGTTCTAATGAGCTTTGTCACTTTAGAATCTGACGGATTTTAAGTGTAGTTTGGTTTCAGTAAACGTTAGATTAAAACATAAAGGGCTACAAACACTGAAACTAAATAACACGACGTGACTTATGATGAACAAACAACGGGTTTCAGTAGTTCTGGTTAAAACACAAAGAATGGGCCTCATTTAACGTTTTAATGAGCATTTCTTTAGCCGTGATGTGTAGCTCCGAGCTAACGGTTTCTCGATAAAGACTCGAGAGTATCAAACCTGAGTCAGACCTTTGCCCCGGGGCTAAATATATCCGGATATAGTTAATGCATTTAAACACAACACACTGTCCGGGGAACGTGTCTATGTTCACCGGTTAACGGATATACACCGGTTAGTTAGTTGAAGGCAGAGCTAACGAGGCTAACTCCGGATAGGCCCGGTGGATAGCCCCGATGTTTCCTGCGGGTCTTGAGGTTCTTGAGAGGTAGGATGCCCTGGGGTGACGGTAGACTACAGACGGGGGAAACCGATAGAAAAAGCTTTTAATAGTCGGTTAGTATTCTAGTATTCTAACCGACTATATTCTGTGTTAGTGTTGAGAGACATAACGGTCCTCCTTATGTCGGATAATAACGGTCATTTATACAGTAACTGAAGCACGGATGTCGGTGGTTAGAGAGCCGATTCATGGGAAAGACAACGGTTTATTTAGTTATATATGACGTGTTTATTTACGACATGTTTATCGGGTTTATTTTTCTTCTTAAACTTCACCGGATTGAATGCTGCCTTCAGGTGCACGTCAAAAGCTCGGAAATACCTGCGACTCACTTAAAGTGGTTTTGCTTGGTGATGAGATGACAGAGAAGTTTACTGTTTACTGTTTGTTTACTGTGTACTGTTTGTTTACCATTTGTTTCCTGTTTGTTTCCTGTTTACTATACTTAGAGATGACGTCTATAAACACTGTGTGACTTCTGTCATGACACCTGAAGTTTTATTTGTCACAAACTGAACATATCTCGACATCGTGCACCACCAGTACTTTACATAAAACACAATAGAGAATAATAGCTGTCATATTATTTGTGTATTTATTTAACGCTTTGCTGTGTAAAATAAAGATAAAAGGAAAAGAGTTGAAAGATCTCCCGTCATTCGCGTAAGAAAATGAAGTCACTGTGTCTGCAGCTCATTTGCGGCTTAATAATGAACAACACAGACGGAACGCCGCTACAATATATACTAGAAAATATACACGAGGATGAAATACGTATGAACATCTATGAAGTATAGTGTAGATATTAAATATTACACAGATCCATTTGTCCATTAACTGTTATGAATGTATTTCAGACGGTGCTGAAGGAAGGAAATCTGATGAAGCAGACCAACTCGTTCCAGCGCTGGAAGAGAAGATACTTCAAACTGAGAGGGAGGACGCTGTACTACGCTCAGACCTCTAAGGTGAGCCGGTCTACTACGCTCAGGTGGAGGACTAGACTCTGTCCTACATTCAGACCTGTATGGTAGAAGGTGGAGGACTAGACT